TATATTTTCTCTGATGGAACATACCATAGTTTATAGTTATATATTTATTTTTGTGATTACTTTTTTACTGGCTGATATCCCCACAAAACTGTTGCCTCAATGATGGGAAGGGGTCATGTCTGTCACACTACTGAAGGTATCTACAGCTCCCAATGTTACGTTGACTCCCGAAAGTGTGTCCTTTTGTACTCTCACCCTTTGTATATTGTGTAGTAAATATTCCAAGAGGGAATCTTAAAAAATGCATTTTGACATACATGAAGTTTGGCATCAGCTTTGGTATTCAATCGAAATGATCTAGTTTTGGCTTCAGCCTTTGGAGGACCAAATCGCCAAATGCCTACTTAAACATGCTATCTGATATCCCTGAGATTGTTCATGATGAATGAATTGTGATTACATAGGTTGCCATCATAACTACTCAGCAAAGTGCTAATACAATCAAGGCATGCTGTTGGATTTATTATTAATTTCTGCATATTCACTTTTGAATATAGATATACATTTTAGATAGAACTTGGAATAAAAATTTCAGGAACTCTTTCAGCCAATTGATGAGTACATACATTTTGATAATGGAAATGGAAAATGTTACAATAATTAATAAAGATTATGGAAGTAATTTGATATGTAAAAGCAGTTAAACATTTTCAAATAATTTAATAAGTATGAAAAGATATTGACAGCCAATACAAATATCAACAGTGTGTATTAGCCAGATAACTTTGGGAAGAATATAATAACCTCTCTGAGCTCATAAACATTTATAAAACATAAATAAGAATATAAAGAGTAACAGAAACTAACATATCATAATTCTCTTTTTATAGAATAATTTGTTATATTAGTATTTATAACATGAATCCAAATTACATAAAAACTGTTTGTAGTTTTTAGTTATTTAATTTCATTTAAGCCAGGAATTATGAAGTAAGGTCTTACGGGAAGAATTTCTCACATCATATGGAGGTGAATTAAAAGCAGAATATGAATTCTGCCACCTCAAAATTACAGAGGGGGAAATTTCCAGAATCATATACAATAAATGTATGATAAATCATCATCAATTCAGTTATAAATATAAAATATAAAGAAAAGAAAGAAACTGTTAGAGAAGGATGAGTTACACTCATTTCGCCTTGCTCTTCCAGTAACCTGCATTGAAAGTGAGCCTCTGTTTAATATCACAAATGTGCAATAAATTGACTATAGAAGCAATCTTGCAGTTGACAGTGCAAAGGAATAATTGTTCCTAAACTATAATACCAAACTTTTAAAATCTATTCCATTATAAATATGAAATTGTGATAGTCAAGACATTTGGATAATATTTCATATTTAATATTTTATCCAGGCAGTTCTTTCTCTGATAGTAATATTCAGTTTTGACCTCAGCTTTGGCTGAATATTAATTTTAACTGCAGGCTAAGATTCATTGATTAATTCATGAATTAAAAAATATTAATTTGGCTCTATACTATGTTCCAGTCACTGTACTAGGAGAAAAATTAAGTTCCTGATATTGTGAGATTCTCAGTGTCTTACTCATATCTTTTACTCTAGCATCTAGCAATATGTCTGTCCCATGGTGGTTACTGAAGTATCCTTTATTTGTTGAATAAATAACTTCATCAGTAGCCCTTCTACTTTCTTACACCATACCCAAAAATGAACTCAAAATGGATCAGAGACTTAAATGTGAGGCCTGAAACCATTAAACTCCTAGAAGAAAACAGGCAGTAATTTCCTTGACATCAGCTGTAGAAACATTTTTCTAAATAGTGTCCTCAGGCAAGAGAAACAAAAGCAAAATTAAACTATTGGGACTACACCAAAATAAAAAACTTCTGCACAGTGAAAGAAACCATCAACAAAACGAAAAAAGCAGCCTACTGAATGGAAGAAGATATTTGCAAATGATATACCTGATAAGGGGTTAATATCAAAAATACATAAAGAACTTAAACAACTCAACACCCAAAAAACAAATAAGCCAATTAAAAAATGGGCAGAGGACCTGAATTGTCATTTTTTCCCAAAGAAGACGTACAAAGACCCAACAGACATATGAAAAGATACTCAGTATCATTCACCATCAGGGGAATGCACGTCAAAACCACAATGAGATATTACCTTATACCTGTCAGAATGGCTAGAATCAAAAAGACAAGAAATAACAAGTGCTGGCAAGGATGTGGAGAAAAAGGAACCTTGCTGCATTGTTGGTGGGAATGCAAACTGGTGCAGCCACTGTGGAAAACAGTATGAAGTTTCCTTAAAAAGTTAAAAATAGAGGGGCACCTGAGTGGCTCAGCTGGTTGGGTGACTGCCTTTGGCTCGGGTCATGATCCTGGAGTCCCGGGATCGAGTCCCACATCGGGCTCCCTGCTCGGCAGGGAGTCTGCTTCTCCCTTTGACCCTCCCCCCTCTCATGTGCTCTCTCTCATTCTTTCTCTCTCAAATAAATAAATAAAATCTTTAAAAAATTTTTTTTAAAAATTAAAAAAATGGTTTAGGTTTTCAATAAGTATTTCTGTCAGAGCTACTGACATCATTTAGAGAAATTCAACCTGAAAGACAAAGAATGATCATTATTTTCAAGTCATTTCTTTATGGTTGACTCTTAACATGAAATAATTTGGGGCCTGGGATCACCAGACAAAATGTTTAAATTGTGTCCATGAAATTGGTGAACACAGAAAATAAAACAGTTCGTTGAACCTTCCTTAAGGTCTGACTCTTTTTAGCTCATTTCAGTTAGCTGGATACTACATTTAGTGAACTAGTCCTATGCCTTGCAATCTACCAAGAGAAGTTGTTCCTAAAAACCAACATTTTCACATAAAATAAGAAGAGGGAGAGTTAGTTTTTGGAATCTTATTTAAAACATTATAGTGCACATTGATTTTGTATCCTGAAACTTTACTGAGTTCATTTATCAGTTCTAGCAGTCTTTTGGTGGAGTCTTTCAAATTTTCTATATAGAATATCATGTCTTCTGCAAATAGTGAAAGTTTGACTTCTTCCTTGCTGATTATGGAAGGTAAGATTTAAGCTTAGGGTTAACCCCTGGATGATTTGTATGTGTCGTGTAATTATTTTTATAGCCTTGCCCATGGACCAGGATTCCTGTCCAGAGATCAGAATAAAGTTACCTTTTATCCATTATCATATAAGCATAGTAGAAATTTTTACTGACAATTTACCTTCATCACCACGAGGTTGCTGGGGAAACATGTAGTTAGTCAATACTCTTTGCTTTGTTTCTGGATGGGCTTCAGTTTGCAAAGGGATAAGGGCTTTGGACTAGAAGCAAAGAACATATAAATTAGATTAATAAGATAGCAAATATTAAGAATACTTTTATAGAAGATAGTGATCAATAGTCTGGCCTCACTGAGCTGAATGAACAATTAAAAGAAAGGCAAGGAAAAAAGTAATGAAATAAGAAAGGATTTCATGAAATAAAACTATTGCTGAGGAATATTCTCAAATTCTAAGGTCTTCATGCTGAGAGTCTCTTTTTCTCTAGTATACTCTTTTACAAAACCTATTCATCTTCACTGGCAATGTCAGTTTTAATCTTAAAGAGATCAAGATGTATTAAATTGTTTCAAATAAGTGAGCTTTTGGTGTGGTTCTATATGCTCATTCATTTTCACAAGCTGCTGCCCTAAAAAGACAAATGGAAATTGCTATCAAATTCATGCTATTCCAAGATCATCTATGAATTTAATTAGGTTAAAACATAAGCATTTTTTAAGAGATATTTTTGTAACCAAAGACAGAGTCTACATAAAAATAAACAGTTGTACTTTTTGTATCTGCTCTATCAACAATATATTTCTTATGGATAGTAATATTCCATTCTTTATTATTAATTTGATTTTAGAAATATTTCTGAAGGGTGTTTTAGAACTCTGATATTATACGCTATACATATAAATATATTGGAAATGATGATACCTAATGTTTAAAAAATCCACTTATTTCATGACATTTATCAACAGGAGTGAAGCACAAAGGGGATTTGGGATACCAACTTGTCTCATGAAACTGAGTCAGAAACACATTAAATCACGGTTCTAAATAAGTTAAATGATGCAGTCACTGTTCAGTTCATTCTCCCACAAGAAGAATAAATCATGATATTAGTGGATGTTTTTACACAATGCAAGACTGTAGCATTGACTGTTCCATTAGCATAGCTCACATTGAATCCAAAAATGATTTATTTATAATGATATATTAATGCCTTAAAAAATCTATAGTTCATTGATAAGATTTGAATTTGAATGACAATCTAATTTTTTTACTCAGCAGATGGAAGCAAGTGCTATAATGACTGTAGGAATACAAACATTCTAGCACTTACATTTTGTAGAGATTTATTTTTTCACAGAAGTAGCCCAATACCTAGAAGTCTGAACAATTCATTTACCAATAAGGCTGCTTTTATGCTCAGGAAATAATCATAAGAAACTAAATTCAAGATGATTTGTTTTCATTTGACTATTCATATTTGGGAATAGGTGTTTCAAAATTTTAGGATTATAAGAAAAAAGTAAAAAAGACTAATAAACTATGTCAAAATTGTCTATCACCAGTTTTTTCCTGGTGGCAAATCAGATGTCTTCAACTGTTTCTTGTTATTTTCCTTATTAAAGTTATTCATTAACACTCAATTACTGATTCAATTATAATCTACTTTCGTGAGTATAAAAAGTAATATCAAACCAATTTCACAGAAAGTACTGAAAATAGTTGCAAAAAATATCTGAAAACTTCTTGTATAAAGTTTTAGAATTAAGTTGATTATAATTAACAGTATAAAAAAATCATGTAGGATAATAATTCCCTCTGTGGGAATTGTGTTAATGATTTCTTATTCTTTACCTTCAGAGATATAATTAGAGAATGTTCCTGAGGACATACATGGACTACTTAGAAATCAAAAGGTATGAAAATGATCATTTTGTGTATTAGATCTCTGAGAATGAAGTAAATGCTAAATCAAAGTGTTTAAAGAAGGTGGGGATTATAGTACTCAATATATTGTCTGTAGCAATGAAATACATACTTGAATTGCTATCATTAACAAAAATCTCTCTTCTAGAAGATAAAGAATCTATATTTTGTAGTAATTGTCAAGGGTATCTATTGGGAATAAGTTAGTAATTCAAAGTTTTAATTAGAGTTTATCTTAATAAATAAAATAAATCAGGTAATAAAAGTTTTTACCTGATTGTCAGAAAGCCACAAAGCTGCAAGCTCTTTAAGTTTGGTAAACGAGAATGGTAAATTCTTCAATCTGCAAAAACAAGAAAATTCTAATAGCATGGGTGAGGATGGATATAGTTCATTTTTACGAAGAATTATTTAAAATAATGTAACTTATTCATTTCATTCTTCCCTCCAATTCTTTCTCTTCAGTAGTCTGAGCAATATTTAAAAAGTGAAAATTTCCTGCTTACAACTCTTGAAATGCTTCCTATTATATCTAGGACAAAATCCAAAATTGTTAACATGCCTTGTCAAACGTTACAAGATCTGGCCCCCTGGGCCTCTCCAGAAGCTTCTGTGACTCTTTTCCTGATTTAAGTCTTCCCAGTGCCACTGACAGGCCTCCTATCAGCCCACTACAAGGATTAGCCAAACTTTTCTCTCTGTCTGAAATATTCTTTCTCCCCAACTTCACTGAACTAAATCCCACATGTCCTTTAGTTCTCACCTTGAATGTCATTTTCTCAAACAGGCTTTTCCGGACTCTTCATTTAAATTACTTTCCCCAATGTAGTCTCAAAGCACCTTATATTTTCTCTGATGGAACATACCATAGTTTATAGTTATATATTTATTTTTGTGATTACTTTTTTACTGGCTGATATCCCCACAAAACTGTTGCCTCAATGATGGGAAGGGGTCATGTCTGTCACACTACTGAAGGTATCTACAGCTCCCAATGTTACGTTGACTCCCGAAAGTGTGTCCTTTTGTACTCTCACCCTTTGTATATTGTGTAGTAAATATTCCAAGAGGGAATCTTAAAAAATGCATTTTGACATACATGAAGTTTGGCATCAGCTTTGGTATTCAATCGAAATGATCTAGTTTTGGCTTCAGCCTTTGGAGGACCAAATCGCCAAATGCCTACTTAAACATGCTATCTGATATCCCTGAGATTGTTCATGATGAATGAATTGTGATTACATAGGTTGCCATCATAACTACTCAGCAAAGTGCTAATACAATCAAGGCATGCTGTTGGATTTATTATTAATTTCTGCATATTCACTTTTGAATATAGATATACATTTTAGATAGAACTTGGAATAAAAATTTCAGGAACTCTTTCAGCCAATTGATGAGTACATACATTTTGATAATGGAAATGGAAAATGTTACAATAATTAATAAAGATTATGGAAGTAATTTGATATGTAAAAGCAGTTAAACATTTTCAAATAATTTAATAAGTATGAAAAGATATTGACAGCCAATACAAATATCAACAGTGTGTATTAGCCAGATAACTTTGGGAAGAATATAATAACCTCTCTGAGCTCATAAACATTTATAAAACATAAATAAGAATATAAAGAGTAACAGAAACTAACATATCATAATTCTCTTTTTATAGAATAATTTGTTATATTAGTATTTATAACATGAATCCAAATTACATAAAAACTGTTTGTAGTTTTTAGTTATTTAATTTCATTTAAGCCAGGAATTATGAAGTAAGGTCTTACGGGAAGAATTTCTCACATCATATGGAGGTGAATTAAAAGCAGAATATGAATTCTGCCACCTCAAAATTACAGAGGGGGAAATTTCCAGAATCATATACAATAAATGTATGATAAATCATCATCAATTCAGTTATAAATATAAAATATAAAGAAAAGAAAGAAACTGTTAGAGAAGGATGAGTTACACTCATTTCGCCTTGCTCTTCCAGTAACCTGCATTGAAAGTGAGCCTCTGTTTAATATCACAAATGTGCAATAAATTGACTATAGAAGCAATCTTGCAGTTGACAGTGCAAAGGAATAATTGTTCCTAAACTATAATACCAAACTTTTAAAATCTATTCCATTATAAATATGAAATTGTGATAGTCAAGACATTTGGATAATATTTCATATTTAATATTTTATCCAGGCAGTTCTTTCTCTGATAGTAATATTCAGTTTTGACCTCAGCTTTGGCTGAATATTAATTTTAACTGCAGGCTAAGATTCATTGATTAATTCATGAATTAAAAAATATTAATTTGGCTCTATACTATGTTCCAGTCACTGTACTAGGAGAAAAATTAAGTTCCTGATATTGTGAGATTCTCAGTGTCTTACTCATATCTTTTACTCTAGCATCTAGCAATATGTCTGTCCCATGGTGGTTACTGAAGTATCCTTTATTTGTTGAATAAATAACTTCATCAGTAGCCCTTCTACTTTCTTACACCATACCCAAAAATGAACTCAAAATGGATCAGAGACTTAAATGTGAGGCCTGAAACCATTAAACTCCTAGAAGAAAACAGGCAGTAATTTCCTTGACATCAGCTGTAGAAACATTTTTCTAAATAGTGTCCTCAGGCAAGAGAAACAAAAGCAAAATTAAACTATTGGGACTACACCAAAATAAAAAACTTCTGCACAGTGAAAGAAACCATCAACAAAACGAAAAAAGCAGCCTACTGAATGGAAGAAGATATTTGCAAATGATATACCTGATAAGGGGTTAATATCAAAAATACATAAAGAACTTAAACAACTCAACACCCAAAAAACAAATAAGCCAATTAAAAAATGGGCAGAGGACCTGAATTGTCATTTTTTCCCAAAGAAGACGTACAAAGACCCAACAGACATATGAAAAGATACTCAGTATCATTCACCATCAGGGGAATGCACGTCAAAACCACAATGAGATATTACCTTATACCTGTCAGAATGGCTAGAATCAAAAAGACAAGAAATAACAAGTGCTGGCAAGGATGTGGAGAAAAAGGAACCTTGCTGCATTGTTGGTGGGAATGCAAACTGGTGCAGCCACTGTGGAAAACAGTATGAAGTTTCCTTAAAAAGTTAAAAATAGAGGGGCACCTGAGTGGCTCAGCTGGTTGGGTGACTGCCTTTGGCTCGGGTCATGATCCTGGAGTCCCGGGATCGAGTCCCACATCGGGCTCCCTGCTCGGCAGGGAGTCTGCTTCTCCCTTTGACCCTCCCCCCTCTCATGCTCTCTCTCTCATTCTCTCTCTCTCTCTCAAATAAATAAATTAAAAAAATCTTAAGAAAAATTAAAAATAGACATACTGTATGATCCAGTAATTCTACTACTGGGTATCTACCCAAAGAAAATTAAAACTCTAATTAAAAAAGATGCATGTACCCCTTTGTTTATTGTAGCCTTATTTACAGTAACCAAGATATGGAAACAACCCAAGGGTCTATCTGTAGATTAATGGATAAAGAAGATGTATATATATATATATATATATATATATATGTGGATATATGTGTGTGTGTGTGTGTGTGTGCATAATGGAATATTACTCAGCCACAAAAAAGAATGAGATCTTGACGTTTGCCAGGTCCCACAAGGATGGACCTAGAGGGCATAATATTAAGTGAAAAAGGTTAGACAAATAAAGACAAATACCATATGATTTCACACATATGTGGAATTTAAGAAACAAAACAAAGGAAAAAAGAAACAAACAAACAAAAAAGACCTTTAAATACAGAGAACAAACTTGTGGCTGCCAGAGGAGAGGTGGGTGAGGGTATGGGTGAAATACATAAAGGAGATTAAGAGTACACTTATAGTGATGAGCACTGAGTAATGTATATTGTATACCTGATACTAATGTAACACTATATGTTAATTGTACTTCAATAAAAATAGTCAAAAATAACTTCACTAGGAGTACTTCTAATTATGGCTCATTTAAAATATTTGATAAGCATATTTGCTATATCATCATGCAGATTATTAATGAATAAAAGTTGAGTGGACTAAGAATTTAAGAGACTTCTATAACTCATCATGAAAACCTCCCACCAAGTTAACAGTAATGGAGTTTAGTTCTGTTGGGGATTGTAATGGAATCCACTGAGAATCCATCTTCTTATGATATCTCCATGACCATATTTCCTAATCTTATTCATGAGAATATTAATTAGAACATTTTGAAAAATGTTTTGCTGAAAGTAAGCAACATTCAACACATTTCCCTCATTTTCCTGTCTGGTGACCCAGAAAAACAGGAGATGAGGTTGGTTTGATATGACTTACTCTTGTACCAAGCTGTGAAGCTTCCTTGTCATCTTGATTTTAAAAACGAAATCCCAAACCTTTTAATAAAATGTTTTATTTTCTTACGTGGGAATATTATTGAATTACTAAGTGAATAGTCTTTGAAAACCACATTATTATTATGATTTGTCTTAAGCAAACGAGAACTCATACACTTATCTTGAAACTTACAGATCTGAATATTCTTAATGATTCCATAAAAGTCATCTTTGACAGTTTTGTTTCAGTCTCTCAGTTTCTTGTTCTATCATTTGTCTGACTGGAACTTTTTGAAAACAGAGTTCATACATTCTATTCTGTAATCACTTTGTCTACTTAGTTCTCTTCAGTCAATATTTATTTTTATCCTTTCCTATTTGAGAACAATTGTGGAAACAAAGATGAATTCATTTCGCTTTTTCTTTTTGCCTATCCACCACTATAACACCTTTGTCACAAGAAGAGCACCTATCTTTTCTTTCTTTTTTTTTTTTTGTCCTGCTCTGAACATGACTAAATAACTATTTGGTTGTCCTTACAATAATGTACAAACTTTGTGACTTTTGAGTATTAGCTAATTGGCAATATTCTTACCAGCATTCTGGTGGTGTTGACAATACACCCATTGCCCAGTTAATTTACTGGAGACATAAATGTGTACATGAAAACATATATATATGCATACCATACATATATACATACTTATATACATCATTTTAATTAATACATTTTGTAGCTTTTTATTATAATTTTTTCAGGTCTTCATAACATTATGCTTTGTCCATATAGGAGGGTTTTGGTATATAAATTTGGGTGTATAAATTTTATATAATTTAAACATACAACATAATATATGATCTGAATTTAATCAAATAATAAAATTTAGAAATATCAGTTTATAAATAATTTAGCTTCTGCCATTTGCTCAATAAAACATTGATCTGCATTCTATATACTTCATAAGACACAGAAAATGTTTCTAAAATAATTAACAAGAAACAATATTTTGCTTTCAGTAAATAACCAATATGTGATTGTGAAATGTTGCAGAAATACCTGTTGTCACTCAAATTTAAGACTCTTAGCTTCTGCATCTGTCCAATCTCTTCAGGAAGAAATTCCAGTTTATTGGAGCGTAGAGACATAACTGTTACATTCTTACAGCTTCCAATCTATGGGTAACAAAAGAAAGTAAGTAAAGAAATACACAGTAAACTATTTTTATATTAATTTTTAATATTAAAATAACTTAATTTACAGATTTCCTTATTACTTTTAAGACTCTCTTAATATGTCTACTGCTTTATTTTTTATAATCTCTCTTTAAAATATGTGTATATATTATATATATATTCCTTTAGATGTTAAGATGACATATATTTCATATTCTTTTGCATATTAGGAAGAATTTTCTTTATAATTTTATTATTAGAATGCTCATTAGCTTCATTGTTTTCATAAATAACATTGTTTTTACAGTCCATCCAAGTGAGTACTAATATATTTATGTTTCTAATAGATCACTCACACACAAAAGATAAAATATTGTTGACATTTCCATAGCCAAGTTAGTTTTATTTCGTGTTACAATGATACTTGTCATGTTTATTCATAACTTTTGGCTCTAAAATAATGACATATTGACTATTGTTCCTTCATTATGGAAATGTTTAATAGAAAATGCTAAATTGAAAATATACTTCACATTTTTTTCTTGACAAGAAATAAAAATTCCACTTAGAAATAAAAACTAACAGAACATTTTGGTGAATTCTAAAATAAAAATAATATTATCACACCACATGATACTTTAAAAAAATTTATTTACATTAAAAATCTTTCACTTCAGAAATGGAAATGTAATTATCCCAGAATGTTACTTATTACTGTTCATAAAAGCAAAATATTTAAATTAAATTATTTAAAATTGTATTCCTTAGCATTGATTAACTTACAATATTTTATTACTTGCCTTTGCAAGTAATGTTTAAGTCTAATGGATTTTCTGGGTCAAAGAACTTATCCCTTATTATTTAAAAAAGAATAATTAACGCATACATATATAGATGTTTCCTATATACATTGACAGCTCAACTCACGAATCTGTGTTGCATTGCACCTGTTAAGACTTAGTCCCAAAACATATTCATTAAAAGTTAATTAACAGAAACAAATTTATTCCTCACTTCTCGGGGTAATTCTGGAAGGAAATTCTCATCGACTGCTAATGTTCGAAGACTATGAAGGTAGCCAATAGTAGAAGGTAGAGACTCCAGTTCATTACAGCTGCAGTCAAATTCTTCCAATAACGATAAACTGAAAAGTTAAATACGTTAGTTAGACATATTAAAAGGCAAAATGGAGAAAGAACTTTTAAAAAGCCACATATCCAAATTCACTGAACAAAAAACCTTATTCATCTAGTGCCAACAGTATCATATAAACTATTTTATCAGTTCAGCGAAGTGGTTCAATACCATTTAATGAGTGGTTCAATTTAGTAAAATAAATATGGCTTATTTTTTCCCTTTCCAAATTCCCCTGCCATTTAACTGAGCCATTGAAAATGACACAAGGTTTTGCTTGTTTTTATACAACTAAAGTGCCATTTATAGCCTGGTGTTCCTAATGCATATCTTTGGAAAGGATGCACATAACTGGCATGGCAGAGGTATGTAGAGGACAGGTCCACAAAAGGGAGGATAAAGGGGGCAGAACATTAACAACAAATCATTACAGTCTAGGTATTTTACTAAGCATTTTATTTATTTTTTATTTTTTATTTATTTATTTTTTTAAAAGATTTTATTTATTTATTTGACAGAGAGAGAGAGAGAGCGAGAGAGGGAACACAAGCAGGGGGAGTGGGAGAGGGAGAAGCAGGCTCCCCGCCGAGCAGGGAGCCCGATGCGGGGCTCGATCCCAGGACCCTGAGATCATGACCTGAGCCGAAGGCAGACGCTTAACGACTGAGCCACCCAGGCGCCCCTTTACTAAGCATTTTAAAGATAAAAATAACTAATCTTTACCTTATGACAACTCTATAAGATAGTTATTATTTTTAAACCCATTTTACAGACAAGGAAATTGAGGCCTTCAGAGGCTGAATAACTTGCCCGAGGCCACACAAAGTAGGAAAGCTGCACACAGTATGCCTCCTCTGTATTTTCTTGCCTCTTAGGGCATCTGTAGCAGAGGCTATGGACAGGGCTCATTTCAGCCTGCAGATATGTTTGGTTTGGTTTACATAGTAAACCAAACCAAACATATTTTATTTTTTTAAAGACTGATTTATTCATTTTAGAGCAGTGGGGAGGAGCAGATGGCACGAATCTCAAGTAGACTGTCCACTGAGTGAAGAGCCCGATGCAGGGCTCAATCTCACGACCCCGAGAACATGACCTGAGCCGAAACCAAGGGTCAGATGCTTAACTGAATGAACCACCCGGGCACCCCTACATAGTATTTTAAAACGTGGTAAACTCTACATAATGACCTAGGCTTTTGTGCCTCTTGAAAGAGGGAAATCTGGCACTCCCAGGCTGTGATTCTTCCATGACGAGCAACAGAAACAGAGTAATGGGTGCTGCCTTCACATGAACACAGTTCTGTAGTTTGTCATAATCCTTACTACTCCATGTATAGCCAGTTTTAACCCAGACTTACAACCAGAAATTGTATAAATACACATTCATGTTTTCACCAGGGAACAAGACATTTCAATATCTGGTTTGAGGTAGCTGGGAAAAAAAGACGGCCTGTCACTGAGGGAGCACTATCTGTAGTTAAGTTGTCATTGATGTTGTTGTTAATATTATTACACTGTTATTACCATTCACATCATCATTATTACTGTAATAGGAAGGAACCCCCAAGTGTGAGTTAGTGGGAGTTAGAGCTGTCGAATCAGCTTCCTTTTTTTACGTCTTGGAACTAGTTGGCTGGAATGCAATTTAGTCCCATCGTTTAGGTAATGGGTAAACATAGAAATTAAGCATATAGGTTTTAAGTCAGTTAGAATGGATTTGTGCCTCAGCTATGTCACTTACTAGATAGATGTGTTATCTTGGGTATCAAACAATAAAACAACGACTACAGCTAAAAAACCAAAGCTGATTTTGTTTACCTGCCAGGCAAAGGAACATACCAGGGAAGAAATTCACTGAGTAGTGCTCCGACGGGGAAGAGTCAGTGCCAAGAGGGGTTGGTCCCAGTGGAATACGTCCATTAAAGATTAAATATTTGCATTATGGAGAGGGTGGAATGAGTTCACAAGTCTGTGTACAGTTAAGTAAATCAAGTCCTGTTAACCATGGGTCAGGAAAGAATAATTTGGTAGGTCGAGTCTGACCCTGACTAAGGTAACTCATGGTTCATGGTCCTTACCGGCTTCAACTGGTTAGAACCAGATGCAGTGAAACACGGCATTCAGCTTTGAATAATATCTCGTAAGCAAACGCTGTTTTAGTGAACAATTCTCCTTTTACATAGACAAGGCATATAACTTTTTCTCTGAGCCTTAGTTTCTTTACATTTGCAAAGAGAATACTAATAATTCTAGGTGCATCCAGTTGCTCTGAGTATTTTATGAAATACTGTTAAGAATTTAGCCCAGGACCTGCCATAAAATACATGCTCAGGAAATTTTTCTCTTTGTATTAGTGAACCCTGATAAATTCATTTCTAAATCCTTTGAGGCCCCCATATGCAGGGGTGGTTATGTCGCAGGGTGCCGGCTATGTATAGCTGTGTGTGCGTGTGTGTGTGTGTGTGTGTGTGTGTGTGTGGTGTTGGTGGGGGCAGGCATCAATGTATGTGTGAAACCCAGTAACAGTTTGTTTCTAAAAAAAAATGTCTAGCCCACTGCCTTATGTATATAATGTACTTAATAAATTTCATAGAATTGAATAAACCATCTGTCAATGGTTTAGGGTAATGTACTCAGCAAGTGGACATAAAAGTACTGGAGACTTTTAAAAATAAAAATTTCAGATGCATGTTCAGAGGTAGAAGTCAAAGACTTAAACAGTTCAAATATAATGGAGGTTTCTCATTTTTCCTTTCTTTTATAAAAACATTCTTTAAAATAAAAACATGTTTTGAGGTTAATCTTGAGTAACAGTAAAGCAGCCCTTACTTTGCACTGTTCTGATATGAACACATTTCGGTCAACATGGTTTCATTAAATAACATTATCCCCCCATCACCAAGGCTCAAACTTCTGTATATTAACTGTGAGTAACTGCATAAAACATAGATTTCACTCTTAAACTCTGGGGCCCACAAATCACAGTGTAAATAGCAGATGCGCATCATGATCAGTTACTGTCACACTCCTTCTTTCTAAGGCTGTCAGCGATTTGTCCCTAAACATCTGTCATTCCGTTCAAACCACAAACAGTACATCATGCAGTTGTTTTGCCTTCTTGTCAATCAGTAGAGAGATATTATAGGTATAATAATTTAATATTTATAGCACTATTACTGTTGGAAAATGTTCTTGGTCTCCCTAATTCTCTTGGTGATTTAAATGAAAATGTGAAAACTTGCTTTTTATCACCAAGGACAACTTCATTAACCCTGCCAACGGACCAAGGAGTTATTTCAACTTTGAAAGCCTATCTTACACAGACTTTTGAATAGGCTATCAATGCTACAACTGGAGATCATACAATTTCTTTAGCTGAGTTTTGGAAGAAATATGACATAAAGCGTACAAATGAAAATTTGCAAGCATCATGGCAGGAAGTCACAGCAAGTGATATGCGTGCATTACAGCAGAAACTTATACCACACAGTGCAAACAACTTTGCAGGGCCTGGACAAACATAACTAGAGCTACAGAAGAAATAGCTGACTGTGGGGATGTTGCCTGCCACTCTTCACGGGACCCTTCATATGCTACCAGAGGAACTTAGTGACAAGCTTATTGACATAAATGAGGGAAGTGGTTGTAATGCAAAGGATGAAGATGTCTTAGAGGAAGTGACACTGGTAATAAACTTCACATTAAAGGAACTCTCAGGGTGGCACCTGGGTGGCTCAGTAGGTTAAGCGTCTGCCTTCTGCTCAGGTCATGATCCCAGGGACGTGGGATTGAGCCACATATGGGGCTCCTGACTCAGCGGGGAGCCTGCTTTCCCTCTCCCTCTGCCTGCTGCTTCCCCTACTTGTGCTCTCTCTCTCTCTGTCAAATAAATAAATAATATCTTTAAAAAAAAGGGACTCTCAGGAATGTCTCATGACACTGAAAGCACAAAGGATAGAAGTTGGGAAGCCTATTTAAGCTTAAAAATACAATTCACTGATGCATAGGAAAGACATTCACTCTGAATTATGATTTACCATGGTGAAAAGAAGGCAAGTACTGTTCAAATTAATCTTGATAACTTTTTTTTTTACAAAAAGCCCACTTTAATTCTTGATGTTCCTACTGTTTACAAAGACAGTGAACTAGATGAATAATAGTTTTACTATTTTTCCATTTCCCTATACACTTATAAACAACCATAATAGTATTTAATGTTTTAAAAAAGGTTTTAAAGACCTTCAGGCAGAACTATCATAGTTTTCCCTCATTGATTATTTTTTTAAAGATTGTAATATTTATTTGACAGAGAGAGAGCACAAGCAGGGGGAGTGGCAGAAGGAGGGGGAGAGGGTGAAGCAGGCTCCCAACCCATGGGGGGTTCCATGGCAGACACTTAACCGACTGAGCCACCCAGGCACCCCTCCGTCATTGATTATTAAGGCTGTTGCATGGTTTCAGCTTGAATGGTTGTTTTCACAGTCCTCTACCCCTGTGCAAAGTGAGAACTTCCAGCATTGAAAAAGACAACATTTTGACTGCACTATGGGCTGTACTGAATTAATAATTTATAGTCTGGAAGAATTTTACATCTCTGGGTTATAGAGAAAGCTATTAGATGCAAAATATAACCTCTTCAATAATCTCTGAAATTTAAAAGATTTAAACTCATAACATTCCAGTTGACTTTGTTGATGGCAATCTTGTGGAATCACTTAAGGTATTTTAATACAGGATCCTCTTTGACGAAAACAGTTATATCGCATTTACTCAGATTATCACTGGCTTTCAAAAGATAGAGCAAAATAAGTGAAATTGGTCACCAGAGAAAGACAAATACTGTATGATCTCACTTGTATGTGGAACCTAAAACAAAACTAAACAGCTCATAGATACAGAGAACCAACTGGCACTTGCCAGAAGTGGGGCTAGGGGATGGGAGAATGGGTGAATGTGGTCAAAGGTACAGACTTCCAGTTACAAAATAAATAATCCATGTGGATATAAT